CTCACCCCGCCCCTTGGCCTGTACCATAGGCGTCCGGAGCAAAGCCGCAGAGCACGGGGGCCAGCTGACAGCCCAGACGTGTCTGGGCTGTCAGCTGCCCAGGTGTTCCGCCGCTTTGCTTCCTCTCCCTGATCTGCTGGAGACCAGGGAGAGGAAGGGCCCCGTTCGTAACTGCGGATCCGACATAAGTCGGATCCGCGTAACTCGGGGACTGCCTGTAGGTACTAGCAATGGGGATGTGCCCAACCCCTCCCCGCTGAAACTGGCTTCTATTGAAATAACATCTACAGAGAGGAACCCAGGTGTTCCGCCGCTTTGCTTCCTCTCCCTGATCTGCTGGAGACCAGGGAGAGGAAGGGCCCCGTTCGTAACTGCGGATCCGACATAAGTCGGATCCGCGTAACTCGGGGACTGCCTGTAGGTACTAGCAATGGGGATGTGCCCAACCCCTCCCCGCTGAAACTGGCTTCTATTGAAATAACATCTACAGAGAGGAAAATTCCATTCCACTTTGCTAAATTACAGGTTATATTAACTATACTTTGAGGAAAAAGCACAACAATTTCTCCCATTACAGAGCACGGGAAATCCCCCGTAATGAAACAAACCCAAGTCAATGTCAATTTCTACTTTTGTTCTGGAAGATCCATTTGTCAACAGGGTGGACTGGATCTGTAACTATGTTACTCTAAGGATGTGTCTAGACTACAGGGCTTTGTCAACAAAAGTGGATTTTTGTCGAGAAAACTATACCTGCGTCTACACTACTGCTGAATTCTGTCGACATAACGTCAACAGAACTCAGCAGTTTTGTCGACGGCTGTAAGCCTCATTCTATAAGGAATAACGCCTTTTGTCGACAGAGTTCTGTCAACAGAAGGCGTTATTGCATCTACACTGTCCTTTGCATACACACTGTCATGTCAACAAAGCGGCTTGCTTTGTCGAAAGAACTAGATGTAGTCTAGACGCTCTTTGTCGACAAAAAGTTTGTCGACAGTATCTGTCGACAAAACTTCTGTCGATAAAAGTCTGTAGTCTAGATGTACCCCAAGAAAGGAAAGTTTTAGGTAAGCACAGATATATTTTCCTATTCTTCTTTGTACTAAGGTCCACAGATCCATTACCATGGGATATTCATAACAGTGTGCCTCCAGGATGAAAAACAAGATCATCCTTTAATTATGGACATCCACACTGAGGAAAATTATATATCTCTTACAAAGCCCTGATCTGAAAAATTGTTCAGATAGAAATAAAAGTTACTTTTTCCTCAAGAGCCAACATTATTGCTGCCACAATCCTTGAAAAGTCCTCAGAAGCGCATACACAAAAATTAAATGGCAATGACTGGAATTGGGGGTGAAAAGGAGACATCCATATGCAAAATGGAAGAACTGTCCGTGTAGTGGTTAAATGGGAATGTAAAAACAAAGCTTGCTCTTTAAGAACTTTTTCTGACATGTCACCGTGCTGTATTAGGTCTGGCTTCAATCAGGCTAGAAATAGATTGGAGAATAGCCCTTGATATCGAATGGTTTATATCACTCTGATCTGAATTTAAATGTCATGTCCTGGCATTTCCATGAGCTGCCTGAGCATGGGAATGGGACAAGGTTGTTCTTGTGATTCTTGAACAACCTATAGAGTATCCTCTCTGAATAAATGCCCATTCACCACATTTTGACTAAAGTTGTAGATAGCCACTTGCTCCCAAACTGAAAGAAGGTGGCACCAATCAGGGGTCTAACTCCAGACAGGGAGGTTGTGAGTCATTCAGAATGCTGTGGGGCAAGTGAAGACAGCTTCTGATCTTGTCTCAGCACCCTTTGCTTGTTTTAGCAATCACATGCCAAGTGGTGTTGTTCTTTGTTTTACTCCAGAGACTTTGCCATGGAACCTGCATTCTATTCTGAGATGCCTAGCAGAAACCAGAATTGTAAATCTGTTTTTCTAATGACTTTCTGAATAGTCTCAGATTTCCATAAAAAGCTTCCTACTAAGGGTACGTCTAGACGGCGGGGGTTTTCCGGGAAAGGTATCCAGGAAAAACTCTGCTGCGTCCAGGGAACACATCTAGATGACAGGGGTTTTCCGGGAAAGGTATCCCGGAAACACTCTGCTGCGTCCAGGGAACACATTTGCTCTTCTGCTTTTTTTTTAGAAAGACCAAACATGTTCTTTTGGGGAGCCTTTTAGGAAGACCAAACATGTTCTTTTGGGGAGCCTTGTATACTTCGTTCTACGAGGAATAAGGGCTCCTCTGAAAGAGGAGGATTTTCCGTCATTTGGCCCCAAAAGCATCTTCCAGAAAAAGCAATCGGAAAAAGCTACGCAAAGTGCAGAGTGCATCGTAGCTTTTTCCAAAAAAAAGCTATAGTGTAGGCCTAGCCTAAGAGAACTGGGAACCAATTTGCCTGCAAATCTAATCTCTGGGACAAAAGCCAAAGTATGTGTCCCCCATTATATTTCTCAGGGAGAAGCCATGAAAAAGGCAGTGGGCATTTCAGATTGAGAATGACCATAATTGTGATACCCCCATCAGAATTGCTATTGAGCGCAGGAGGAAGGACAAAGTGTGTCAGATGACAGTACCTAATGTTTTTGTTGGTTTTTGGTTGGTCTGAGAATTTCATGCTGAGGGGAAGGTGACATGATACCTGCCCATATGTGGCTGCCCGTAAATGGCTTGTAAAGTGAGGTGGCCAGTCATTAAAAATTCCCTCTCCCCCAGCTAGAAAGATCAAGACCTTGATCACTGAGAAAGATATGTGTTTATGTTCTGTAGTGACAGCAGGTTGAATCTGACCTGGTGAATACTGATGAATCTTCTAGACTTATAAAATGGAGACTAAGGCAGTTAGAACGAAAGAAATGAGAGGTCAAGAGGCCTGGTCTTTCCTATTTGTTTTATCCCTTCTGGCATTGGTATTGTCCATGCTGTGTCTGGTCCTTCCATCTATGTCCCAAAGACAGGAGGCAGTTGGCAGTCAAGAGGGAGGCTGCTGGTGTGACCTACCAGGATTCAGGTGCATTTTTCTAGCTGGCATACAGACCTTTTGTTATCCTGTGATCATGGAGATGGGAGGAGGATCTGCTTGCCCCTGAAACTGACTATTGCAATCCTGCTAGTTTCCTTCCTACTCAGGGAAGTAGGGTGGATGGGGAGAGAGAAGACAGAGAACTGCCAGCCAAGCTTCCCAGTGAAAACAAAACACTGACCTTTTTTTTTTTTTTTTGCTTGCACCTTTTTCAGCATAACTGTTTCCCTGAATGGGCATCAGCTGCCCCAAAAGCCTCCAAGGGGACGCAGAGCTAAGGGGACAATTTCCCCAAAAGGCAAATGCAGCTGAGGGAAGCAGATGGGAATTAGACAGACTTGGTAGTAAGCTGAATTGTTAGGCAGGAATTTGAAATAAACTTTGGAATTTTCCTCAGAAAAGCTTTGCAGCAGAGAGGTCTGGCTGAGCCACCAGCTGTGGAGGGGGGCACATAAAACTGTAGTGAACTTCAGGGGATGGGCACTGTCTGCTGTTAGTGGCTAAAAGTCTAGTTTAGCTCCCAAATTGCAAGAAGGCTGAGGTATCCATTGTAATAGACCTGTGGATATTAGCTCTATGGAAAATTAAATGTTTTCCTGAAGTGGGGCTTTAGAATATAGTTGGGATGTGACCTCTGACACAGAAAGCTATGGCAATGTGCTGCAGAAGGCTACCGGACAATATGGCAACATTTTTGAGAAGGGAAACTGTGGGCCTAGGAAACTGAGGCTAGGGGTGCATGACCTAGGTGAGGTGACCTAACGGCTCCATGGAGTCACAAGCAGGAAAGTCCTAGATGAGAGCAATCCCACTCACCTTGGGACAGGGCTCACAGATGGTTTTCCGACAGATCAATTCATAGTTCAGAGACAGTCCCCTCTGGATGCTGCATTGACAATTTGTACATTGATCCAACATCAGGCGTTTCCCTCCCTGAAACATAAGAATCAGTTTGCAATGATGAGTGGTCCTCTATTAAAACTAAAAATAATAAACTATTTTACCTCAGCTTGAAACGGACTCCTTAAATCTTGCAATACCAGTCTAGACAGAGGATAGCAACAGAAACCTTGTGTCCCCACCTTGACTATGTCTAGACTGCAGACTTCTTTCGGAAGAAGCTTTTCTGGAAGAGATCTTCTGGAAAAACTTCTTTTGAAAGAGAACATCCACACTGCAAAAGCGCAATGAAAAAGCGATCTACTTTTTCGAAAGATAGCATCCACATTCATTGAACACTATCTCGCATTTAAGTTGTGATTACTTTGGATGGAGTGGCCACCAGGGCACCTGTGCTTTGTCCTGGAGGCCTCATCTTCTGAAAAAACACTCTCTTCCACGTTCACACATGCCTTTTTCCAAAAGAGCTTTTTCAGAAAAAGCCTTCTTCCTTGTAGAAAGAGGTTTACAGCTGTTGGAAAACCTCCTCAGTTCTTTTGACTTTCTGTCGAAAGAATGCAATAGCAGTGTGAACGTAAGTATAGTTTTTCCAGAAAAAACTCTGCAATATAGACATACCCTTTCACAGACCCAGTGATCATGTTTGTATCATTACACAGACATGACAGAATGAGGCTGCTTTCCAGAGCAGTCATTCTTCACGAGCTGATTTTTCTGCAGCCAACCGTCAAGAGTTCACTTTTTAGAAAAGCGCCACCAAGTGGTAGTGGAAATAATATACTCAACTGTAGATTCCTCATGGGAGCTCCAGCCTACTAGGAATTAAATTTTTTCAGTAGAAAAGAATAGAAAAAGTTTAATTTATGTTGAAATCAGTGTTTTTTTGCAAATGGGAGAGAAAAAAATTTGGAATTAAATTTACTAGGGTATGTCTACACTAGCCACCCTAGTTCGGATTAGGGTGGCTAATGTAGTCATTCGAACTTGCAAATGAAGCCCGGGATTTAAATATCCCGGGCTTAATTTGCATGTTCCCAGGCACCGTCATTTTTAAATACCTAGTAGTTCGAACTACCTGCCTGCAGCTACACGCGGCACAGGCTAGGTAGTTCAAACTAAAGCTCCTAATTCGAACTACTCATTGCAGGAGGAGTAACGGTAGTTCAAATTAAGAGCTTTAGTTTGAACTACCTAGCCCGTGCCACGTGTAGCCCCTGGTAGGTAGTTCGACCTGGCAGGTAGTTCGAACTACTGGGCATTTAAAAATGGTGGCGCCCGGGAACATGCAAATGAAGCCCAGGATATTTAATTCCCGGGCTTCATTTGCAAGTTCGAATGACTACATTAGCCACCCTAGTCCGAACTAGGGTGGCTAGTGTAGACATACCCCGAGAGATAAGCTGGAACCCAACTCCCAGATTCTAATGCCCCCAAACTTTTGGGAAGTTTCTATCAGGATTTAAAGTTTGCAACATAACCATCTGAAGTTGGAATAAATTACTTCTGAGATCAGCATGTAAATAGGCCTTGGCAGTACATTTTTGTCAAACAGAGCTTATTGTGGGGAATGGAGTGAATTTGTAGAATACACCTATCAAATAATCTCTGGACAAACTTATAGGAAGACATCAACATCTGCTAACACGCTGTTAGGTAATGCAACCAAAATAGCCCCCTATAAAGCTAAAAACTACTCTAGTCTCTCTCAAACATGACACTCAATAAAAGCCTGGGAAAACAGATGAGTGTTACAACTAATTCCATTTGGTAAATACAGCCACCTGCTTGGAAGTCTGCATTTAATGCCTGCAGTATTATTTAAAACAGTGGGGTGATTGCAATAGACTTACTTGAGTATAATATTGGTAACCAGATATAAGACAGAAATGGAAAGGGATTAAGGAAAAACAAAAGGCCACACTAATCTAACAGATCTGTAGTAAAAGATTCCAAACTTGGAACTATTCACGGAATGAGTTAATGGAGGAAATGTTCCCTTGATACAAAATGAAACATGAAGCCTATATTTAAACAGTGGTTACTCCCAGCATAAAGTATTGAAATCCAGGAAGTATTGATGTCCTGGGGATACCCCATTTTGATTTCTGACCAGGATTTTGGAACAATCATAGAACAGTGACCTCAGAATATCTATCCCCACTTTTATATTCTGCATGCTGGGAGGGGACGTGGGAAGTACAGAGCGCATTATGGGAATACTTACACAGGGTAACACGGTCACCTCTGCAGAAGGCCAGCACAAAGTCTCGTCAACACTCAAGTGTCACCTAAGCCCCTGGCACACATTGCAGAATTCAGATCTTGTTTTATTAAATAAAAGGCTCACTCTCAAATAGAACAGTAGTACAATTTGGATCTACAAACTGTAAGACAAATCTGTATGTTGCGGGGCAAAGAACTAAGATGAGCCCCTTATGCAAGGAACTTCAGGTTCAGGCTAGCAACAACATACAGGTGGAAATAAATGGTTTACTTGCATTAAGGAAGGAATGCGGAGAATGCATGAGAGTGTAATTATTATATCACATGGTCTAAGGCCAGAGTTAGGGTCTGCATGGAGTATTGCAGCCAGATTTGGACACTATAAATCCCTATACAGATGCATATACTCTAGAGAAGGTAACCAGAAATTAAAGAAAGAAAAACTATTACATCTTGAAACCCATCCCACAACGTGGTGACAAACTGTGTGTTATTCATGCATGAGAGTGTAATTATTATATCACATGGTCTAAGGCCAGAGTTAGGGTCTGCATGGAGTATTGCAGCCAGATTTGGACACTATAAATCCCTATACAGATGCATATACTCTAGAGAAGGTAACCAGAAATTAAAGAAAGAAAAACTATTACATCTTGAAACCCATCCCACAACGTGGTGACAAACTGTGTGTTATTCTGTGGGCAATAGTTCAGATTCATTACATGAAAAATTAGACTGAAAAGGGTTCCTATTGCAGTGTGTAGAAGGTACTTCAAAAAGCCACAGAGATTTGGAGAAAGTTGTAAAGCAGCCAGAGGAAAACGTATGGACACTCCTCGAATTGAGAGATTAAAGTTTAGATTAAATGCACAGGGAGAGCAATCAGCATATTTGGAATTCTCTGTTGCTAGAGGCACTGTCACAATATGGATTTAAAGAAACAATGGACAAATAGCTTTGGGTATACGTGAGATCAGATGTTTAACTCCAAATCTTTGTCCAGTATTTTTTAAACCATCTGGCAACCCTACTACTGGCACCTTATTTTTTTCTTTACAAAAAAACCACTGTCTCTAATCATTTTCACTGTCATGCATGGGGTTAAACCAGCCACTAGATGCAAGAAAGTGGAGAAGGAATTTTCCCTCAAAGGCATTTTGTCAGGGTCTTCAGGGTGACATAGGGTCAAGTAATGAGGGGTACTAAAAGAGAGGCAAGAAAAGCACTCCTCTGCCCAGATACTAGGACGAGTGCTTTCCTTCCTGTATGCATCTGCTTTAACCTCTGGCTGAAGCCAGGGAAGTTTCTCCTTCCTCTGGGATGAGCAAGTCTCATCTATCGGCATATGCCTTGCAATCTTTTTCCTATGACTGTGGCCCCAACCACCACAATAACCAAAGAGGTGCCCAAGATCATACAGGTCATCCACAGCACAGCCAGGAATTCAATTGGATTTCTTTGAACTCTGGTCTAGAGTGTAACCCAGGCTATGTCTAGACTGCAGGCTTCTTCCGAAAGAGGCTCTTTCGAAAGATCGCGTCTAGACTGCAGGCGGATCTTTCGAAAGAGAAATCCGCTTTTTCGAAAGAGAGCACCCCGCGAGTCTGGATGCTCTCTTTCGAAGACGGCCTCTTTACATTGAAGAACGCCTTCTTTCGAAAGAGGAACTTTTGAAAGAAGGCGTTCTTCCTCGTAAATTGAGGTTTACCGCCATCGAAAGAAAAGCCGCGTTCTTTCGAAATAATTTCGAAAGAACGCGGCTTAAGTCTGGACGCAGGGGAAGTTTTTTCGGGAAAAGGCTACTTTTCCCGAAAAAACCCCTGAGTCTGGACACGGCCCAAGAGACCACACTTGCAAAGTTTCAGTTTGAGGAAGACGAGTCTATAAATGGTAGCTACATAGTAGCTAGTTTATACATGACAAATTATCATGAAAATATTTAAATATCATAGAGGCATTTGACATAAAAATATTATCTTACCCCAATAATGGTGCCATTCACAACACAACCTTTCACAGGTTCTGGAAAAGAAAGCATATAATTATCAGCATTACTGATGGTACTGCAATCGGTTTTGTGTATTATAAGCCTGAGCCTGCCTTGTACAATGTCCAGTGATGTCAACAGGAGCTGTCCCAGTGTGATGTCATTGACGATGACAAGATCTGGCCCTCACCAGACATTATACCTGCTGGGGGCGGGGATGTCCTAATTTTGCCAGTGCTAACCTGAATTCCCCTTCTGAATCTTCCTCACCTGCCTATTTTTTCCCAAAGACATAGCAGTTAAGCCTCTTAGGCCTGGTCTACACTAAATGGGAAGGTCAACATAAATTACATAGCTGGACTCAATGTATCTTACATTGCATTTCTGCACCATCAACACAGTAGAAGGCTGACGGATGCAAACATTTCCACCAGATTCCCTTGCTCCTCATGAGGAGCAGGCGTACCAGCACTGAGAGAGCTCCATTCAGCGGGTTTATACAACACCTGCTAAATCAAACCCCGGAAGATAGACGGGGCAACGTCGATCTTCCACATAGTGTAGACATGGCCTTACGGGCTTCCCATGTACAGACCAGAGAGCTGCTCTGCAAGCTGCAGAGTGTAGCACTTCTCCTTCTCCCCACTCATTGCTCTCCCCTACTCCTATCCTCCAGGTGCCTTGCGCAAGCTTGTTCCTAGACCAGCTTAAGGAGCAGATGACAAGGAGAGGACAAGAATGATCCGGAAGGAGGAAGTAATAACATAGCCACTGCAGCTAATCAAATTTGAATTTCCTCAACTAAAGCCAGGGTTGTTTGGAAGGCGATACCCTTTGTATTCACAATATGACATGCCAACTCAAATTAAATTTGTTCAAACATGTGCAGTTGTAAGCTCCTAATCAGAGGTACAAAATCAGTGAGAGAACCACAGACCCCGAATCCTCTGATGGCATCATTAGAGGCCATGAATCCTTACCGCACCGGCAGGAGGGACAGCAATTTGTTATTTGGTCACAGCGCAACTCATATCCCAATGGACAGGTGGGAGCATCCATGTGAGAACACGACACATTCCTTTTCTGAACAAAAACGTCACTGTTCACTCGGATGCACTTGTGGATAATGCAAGGGTTGGAGGGGGATCGCCACTCTGTGCCAACCTACGCATGGGAGATAAACATGAGGAAGAGTTTGTAGCATGTGCGCACTGGACAGAGAAGGTGGGGTGCCATAAAAATAACCAAAGTAACAATCTAATTAAGCTGTTGAACCCAGAACAAAGCAGTTATACCCTGTGCTTTAGCATCCAGAATTTTCAGCAAGGTCGACCCTCCTGTTGTTACACAGTTTTCCCTAAACCCCTGATCTGGATTGTGAAGTTTTGGAATACACTGTTGAATAGATAATAGAATTTAGGGGTGACAGTGACAGACTTTGGAGAAATTTAACTGCATGAAAAATAAAGAGGTGGGACCAAGCACTATGTGTTGAAAGATTAAGTATGAGATTTAACTTAAAGTACTCTTAGGCCAGGTCTACAGTAGACCTGGAAAGCTGCCTTATGGTACACAACTCCAGCTATGTAGAATACGTAGCTAGAATTGGCTTACCTTCAGCCAAGCTTGGTGGCGTTCACACAGAGGGAGGCCCACAGGAGCAAATGCTCCCATTGGCTTCCCTTACTTGTTGTGACTGCAAGGAGTACAGGCACCGTCCGGAGTTGCCCTCAGCGTTTGATTTATTGGTCTATATTAGACCCGCTAAATTGAATACCAGAACATCGATCTCTGGCACGGCAAGTGAAGGTATGCCCTTAGTGGCTGTTCTGACTTTAGAGTAACTATGGCAGATCTGTCCATTTTGGAGGGATTCCGTGGGAATTCAGACTTATCCCAACTGAGACAAACTTTTGTAAGGTGGTTTGCCCAGAAAGGATTTGTGAATAGAGAAAGGGGCCAAGTACAGACGAGTACGGGTGGTGGCACTCGCCACTGAGTGAGACTGAGTGATATCCTCAAGATCATGTCGCTTCGGATGGATACCAAAATACCCCAGAAAAAAAGACCTAGCCCTGTGCAATCCCAAATTTGTCTACTGGAATCATGGGCTCCCTGAAATCTAACGTTGATAATGTATATTTATACACAGTGCTTTGAAGAGCTAATGTGTCTGCCCCACACTGGCCCTTTAAGGATAAAACCCAACAGTGGAAGAGGGCTGAGAGCAAAGCCCACAGTGGTGGCAGATAGTAACCAATTAGGACCCAGCTGGGGCTAGATGAGTAAAGGCTTCAGGAGGGAGGGTTAGCTCCCTCCTGCTCTAGCTGGGTAGCAGGAGGGACCTGGCTGCCAGGGAAGCTGGCAGCTTCCTGAGACAGAGCAGGGCTGGGGAAAGGCAGGCAGAGCTGGGCAGCCCTGGCCTGGCCTCACTCCTAGGCTGCAGGGCCCGAGGCAAGGCCTGAGAGTACTAGGGCTGCAGGGAGACAGCTAGGCTAGAAAGAGGCAGCAGGTCCACACTCCTTTGCCAATGATGAGTGGCCATTACAGGCTGAAGTTTGACCCTGAGACAGAGTCTAGATGAGACTAGCAGTGGGTCACTGAGGGAAAGTGGGTACAGGGAAATCTGGGGTTCCTTGGAAGGGGAGGTCCCCAGAGTGCAGAGACAGGACTACAGATAAAACACCACACACACACACACACACACACACACGAAAGGGCCTACAGACACTGGAGTGGGCACTGCCAAGGACACCGTGCGGTCTGGGAGGGACTCAGGTCCAGAATTGACAAGAGAGACACTAGTTAGAAGGAGGCATCCAGTGGTCAGATACGAGCTAATTCCCAGTGCTACTGGCAGGAGGCGCCGTGGTGATGAGTCTGCCCTGTGACAGTGTCATACAAATTCTGAATATTACTATAGCTATATAATAGTAAAGGTGCCAGATAGGAGTGGGACTTTCCTCTGTGACTGTAACCTGAACTGGCAGAAGCACCAAAAGTGAAGGAAGATTCACAATAATCAAGAATCACTTCAGAAATTTGGGAAGAGAACTGACGATGAAATGGACTTCCCTTCTGTGCCAGGCACAAGCCAGGAAAGCCAAGGAGTGATACTAACCAAGTGATGAGGGCCACTGCAGTGTGTGTGGGGGAGAGAGTGGCAGGGGGCTAGCATCTGAGAGCAGTGAAATGTATCATGTGAATAGACATGTTTTGGGAATAACTCTTTCTTTAGACTTCTTGGGAAAGATCTAAAAGGTTGGATCCTGTAAGAATGCCAGGAGATTAACTCCCAGTGACATTGGCCCTTATTCAGCAACGTACAGATCTAGCTTTAGGAATGAGAGTGTTTTTAAAGAGAGGTGAGGAAGCACCAAGCACCTGGAAGGATTTTTTTTAATGATTTTCCCCCTATCACTATGAGGCACGTGCTGTGGTACACTTAAGAAAAAATCAAATTAAAATAAATACATAATAAATCATTCCTCATAATTATAGCTTATGGACCATGAGCTATTTGAATTTGTTGCTTTTCAACTGAGAAAAATCTAGCAAAATCTATAAAGGTAAAATTCATTGCAAAACATGTTCAAATTAAAAATGAAATATTAGTTTAAAAGGCTGATAAATATTAATCTGATAGTCATTTACTCAAAGGCCCTTTTTACACCACTCTGGTAGTATAAAGGACCTTTATAATTTACTCCCAATTTACACTGCTAACATATTGTCAAGGGACTTTAATGTAAATGACAACCAGGCCCTCAGTGCCTTATACTAACAAGACCATCAACCTTCACTGGGAAAATCAGTCCATTTTTCTGTTATGAGTTATTTCAGCATAAATGGCAAACATGGTAGAAAGAGACATAATTATACACATCAATATAGATGGATTCTATAGTTTAAACTAGAACCACAGAAAACTAGTTGGTACATCAGAAGAGAAAAGCATGTTTCTTGGAAAGCTTGGTTTGTAAAGCAGAGGCTGATATTAGAATATAGGATTGCCCTCTGTTTAAAAATGGAGGGAGGAGCTTTTGAGCTTTTATATTGTAATCATCATCATCAACATTAAGAAAAGAAGCTGATTTTCAATATAATAAATGCAATTAAAAGTTAGCACTGAATAATTGCTAGATAGCTATCTTTGTACCACCAAAGCAGTTTAGCAAATCTGTTTTAAACTGAGGAGAAGCGGAGGAATGGACGATCAAGCATTTTAATATATTTAACTTACTATTTTCCTTCCTTACTGTTTTGATCCCCAACCACTGCACAGGATTAAGCAATTTAATGCTACTAGGGCAGGCAGAGGCTTGCCAAGGTCCACAGGGTTAAGAGCAAAAAAAAAAAATGATTAGGCTGAAGAAATACATAAGTCAAGGGGAAAAGAAAACCACTATCTACCTTCCTTTGCAAATTAATGGGGTAGCTGCTGCTCATTTAAATGGGATATGGGTTTTTCATTTATTATTTATTTCTATTTTCAAGCTATTAATTTACTATTGAACTCTCTGGAACAGTTGCAAACAACTTCTAGTCAATGGGATGCTGAAAATAAAATGTTATTATGAGCAGACAGAATAATAGCAAGTGACCACCGCATTCCTGGCTTCTTCGTACTACCCCCCCAGAAATGCACTTCAACTCTGGGCCACCCTTTTTAATGGCGAGAGAAAGAAGTCACTCTCCATCTAGAGCTCTCGCCAAATCTGCACTGTTTGCCAAAAAGAGTTTTGCTTGGACATTTTCAAAATGAAACATATTGATTTTTCAGTTCAAAATGGGCTTTTATTTTACATGTTTTTAAAAAGTTTTAAAGGTTACAAAATACTTGACATCAGATTGCAAAGTGTTCTACCCAAAAAAAAATTTTCTGGATTTTTGATTCACTGAAAATTTCAGAAAAATTTGTTTTCGGTTCAACTCAAAACAGATTTTATGTTTCAGTTTTTCAGAATTATCAACAAACAAAAAAATCTGTTATTTCCACAGTTCTATCTCCATCCTCATTTAGTCCCTGCACTGCTGCATGCCAGCAAATAACCAGACATCCTGCTTGAAGCACACTGATACCAGCTACTCAGTTCAAACAGACTTCATATGGCAATATCTTAGGTTGCATCTCACCTCAGAGTGAACTGATGGCCTACAGATGAATAAGTGTTCATGGTGTTTTGTATACTGCTACCAATTTTTTGTACTAATCTTACATATATGCAAAGGAAAGAGGGTGGTGCTTCAACATTTGTTAATATTAAAGAGTGGATAGATATTTACAGCCAGAATTGACTGAGCGCTATCAAGAAAAAAAACCCCCCACTTCTTTTCAGTATTACTTGATCTGACTTTTGAAGGCTAGGAAAAACTCCATGCACATCATTCCACACCCCACATTTATGGACAGCGGACATTAATAGTTTAACAGCTCTCTGATGCCATTAAATTCTACTTAATCTGCAAGAAGGGAGTGTGTTTTTACAGCAGATCATTGTTATTCAACAGTGCTCATCCTGCAGGAATGTTGAGGCTATCTGGCTGCGTGTTTTATAACGAAAGGCTATAACTTCAGGAACAGAATCATGTGTGCAGTCTCTGTGCTTTACTTTACAGTGTTGTGTCAAATTTCAGAAGCAACAAGGAATGTTTACATTTTGAAAGGCAAAAAAGCCCCAAATATTTGAAATTAGATTGCCTAGGAGAGAAACATAAGGGACCATATTCAGCAACTCATTAGAATGTATGTCTAAGGTTAAGCACAGAAAGAGTGGTCCAAATATTCTTTTTTTTTAGTTGGCTGACCAAAAAAAATTTTACAAGTTTTGGTTTGTCTCATTCTCCCCGCCCCCATCAATTTTCTTAGTAAAACAAAACAATCATCCTGATCCCAAATGAAATGATTTGTTTTATTCTGGGGCACTTTAAACTGCCTTTCTATTATTAAAAGCAAAGGAAATTTGGGGATGCCATCCACAACCCCAGCAAACATGATGGATTTGCTCATCTTTGTGCCCTACTGTTCTGTGGTCAAGAGACTTATTTGGGAGGGGGAAAGTAGCTTCCAATCCCTGTTCCAATGAATAATTATTTATACAAAGTTCAAATCCCCAACTATGTCATGCAGAGCAGAGACTTGAACTCCTGCATCCCAGCTGAGTGCTCTAGACACAGGTCTATAAAGGGGATTCCTCCTCCTCTTTTGTGAATGACATCTAAGTCCACTGATAACTCTAGCACCAACCCCCATTTTTTTATTGTGCTAATGTGTGGCAAATTTGCAAATAGTTTTGCTCAACCTGAAACTGTGTTTTTCCATGAATAAATGATTTGTCCAAAACATTTTGCTCAACTCTGAGCATGGGTTTTATTTATCTCATCAGTCTCATCAGTTTTAATTAGATTTAAACACATGCTTAATTTTTTTACCAAATCAGAGCCTAAGGGTTCACTTCCAAGCAACAAACTATTTTTAAGGCAAGAGAGAAACTCATATAGTTAGCTGAATAAATGATTTTTTAGGAAGGCTTAATGTCTTCCTGTTTATCTTGTCTTCATGTCACTAACATGCAGGAGGCTTTTCTAAGAGATATGTGCTAGCTCCAACAGCTATAGGCTTCATGCAGGAATTCATGATCATGATCTATGATCTGTGTCATGCAGGATTTTAAACTAGATGATAAAATCCTGCTTGGGATGATTTAGCTGGAGTTGGTTTTGTTTTCAGTAGGGGGTTGGACTAGATGGACTCTTGAGGTTTCTTCCAACCCTATGATTCTATGAGTCTAAATCTTTCTTCTCATACAATCCATAAATCTAAACCAAGTGCATTATCATTGGTACAGGTTAACCGACCCTAAAATATTAAGAAATATTAAGAAACTTTGGTATTTTGAGCACTGGATTGGAAAATACAAACTCCTGTATTTGATTCCTGCCTCTCCTACTGACTTGCTGCTTGACTGTGAGCAAGTCACCAATGTTATGTCTATGCAACAAGGGAGAGGTGTGATTCGCCGCTTGTGTACATATACTCCCTCTAGCTCAATGTGAGCTAGTGCAACTATAAAGAGTTGTGTAGTCATGGTAGCACAGGTAGCAGCAGTGCACGCCCAGCATAACCGTGCTGAATACACCTTCCACCCGTGCTACTGCAACTGCACTGCTATCTAGACTTGTGCTGGTGCTCTCTCAGCTGGTGAAAGTATGTGTTGGCAAGTTGGACCCCTAGCTCCATAGTTGTACATGCAGCTGTAATCACTCTGTATCTCAGTTGGGCATAATTATGCCCCCCACCCACCCACAGGAGCACTGTGCCGTTTCATTTAAATTCATAATGTGGATTTGAATTGGTATTACTATTAATAATTAATTAAACATGGACATGACAACCTGTACCTTACGCAATAAGCAGCCTGTACCTTTTTGTTCTCCTCTAGAAGAGAAAAACGGTTTTGTCCCATCTCCTAATAAGGAGGACTGACCACATCGTTAACAGCATGTAGCTCTTGACCTTACCTCGTGCAACTGAACATCTACATCCCCTCGAAACCATGAACTCTGCTCTTCACACATAGTCTTCTGACATTTTCCACAACACGCCCCTTCCTGGCTGACATATGCATAACCCTGTACAAGGAGAACAAAGTGGGGATTGTAGTTATGTTAGAAAGCCACAAAAGACAGTAAGAAGTTTGATGATGATATGGTAGCAAGTGACAATGTTAAGGTTTACAATTTTGCATTGTACAGTGCAGTTCAAACAAAACTATAAGGACACAGCAATCGCTATAGCAGAATTGAGGACTGGTCCATGGTAAGCCACCTAAATACATGAATCAGAGGAACATGAAAAACCCTCATAAATGTGCAATACTATTAACTATATGTAGAGACTTCTGATTATCAGCTGCTGATCTGTTTACCAAAACTATTGAATTTTGCTCAATAGCGTAATTGCCAACATTATTTTTATTCCTGTGTCCAGTCCATTTTGAATCTTACTCAGTGCCTGGTCCTGTGAAGTTACAAGCATCTTTGTGAAGTGTTGGGCAGCTTCCCTTTCAATTCAATGACAATCAATAGTGCTCACCTAGCACTTTGCAGGATTTCTATCATTTTTTATTATTATTATTACTATGATTGTGTTGCTGGATCACTGACAGGCCCCAAATAAGGATCAGAGCTGCATTGCACTAGTTTCTGTATAAATAATTTCTTTCATAAACTAATCAACCACCACACTGTTTAAGACATGGAGCGTCTGGCTAACTTAAAGAAAGCAATTATCTTTATTTCTCCGTTTCTGGGTCTGAAAGCCATGTAGCCCCATGTAGTGGAGAGCAATTCTACTTTCTGTACTGAGCTAGCAACATGATGAGTTGAATTTGAGATGAGGACTAAAATATTAAATAAGTTCAGTGCCATCTTTCACTCTGGTTTTATATCTCTAAAGTGGATGGCTGCTTTTTAGAAAGTCTTTGCATGGATGTTGGAAGCATCGACCCTATTACTCCTGTCCCAGACAAAGTTAGTCCTGCCATCTTCAATATTAGTCTCTTTTCATAGGCTGCCCAGTTTCTCTACATGGAAGCAGGAGTGACCCTTATGTGATGAATGGAGTACATGAGTGTGCAAAGCTGATAGATCTTCTGGTCACACAGATGTTCTCATGAAATATTTCAATTAAAACAAGTTTTTACTGTTTGTCATATTTTCCTCTTAGCAGCTTTTCATTGACAATTTTCATTTTGAAACCAAAAATATTTTTGGTTGTCAGCAAAAATGTACAATAAAAACACAATTTTTTTCATAAGAATTTCTATTTTTTGCCAAAAACAGCCACAAAAAATCTTTCAATAGGAAATTTCTCCCTAGCTCTGGTATTTAACTCAAAAATTCAAAACAGAGAGCTGAGGAGTTTATATCACTAGACAGGCTAGACAATCTTTATGATCTCTGCCCTCCATAATTCTGTGACCATTTGTGATGCAGAATTGAAACCCTGTTTAATACTTTTTGTTCATGTCTCTACTTACTACACTGACTTAGCAATCTCCGAGTTCCCCTGTTTTCATGTGCTGGTTTTCTTCTCTAATTTCTTTCCACCTCCACCACCAAAACCACCATTGTGGTCTTATATACATTTCAAAGGAGGATTGAAAACTAATAAGAAGCCTATCGTACTCTCATACTGACATGACAATCACGGTCTATAGGGAGGTAAAGAATAATGAACACAAATCATCCTTCACACTTGAGCAGGTGCACATGGCAGAGTTGGAAATAATAATAAGCAGCAGCTGTGGGGAAAGTTACCAGGGTTTAGTTACACTAACTCTCTCCCCCTGGACAAGCTCTGAGACAGAGTTGGTCTCAACAAGGGAAGGTGACCGTTTACAGATAAAATCACAGGATAGAGAATATTCACACTGTGCTGAATTAGAGTTGGGTTTGCAATAAACATAGGAGGAACTCAAGTTAATTCCATGCTGTCAGGAGTGACAGAGGACTTTACACTCGATTCATTGACTATTTAAGGTTATTAAAGGGATCCACATACTCTGGGACTTGGCATAATGCCACGTATCCTCCTTAATTCTAACTTTCCATGAGGTCTGGGAGCTGCTGCACAGTTCATCCTCAGGAGGGTGCAGAGTTTTTGAGCTCCCCTCTGGCAATTGGATGGAAGAGAATGGAGATCATCCTTCAAAACAGGGACTTCTCTTAAAAAATCATCAATATCCAGTACTTAAATACTAGTGAGATGGTGGCATTACAGACTGACAAAGATTAAAGGGATATAATCAGAGACTGAAAGAGACACCTAGAGACAGAGGGTGTGTCTAGACTACAGGGTTTTTTTAGAAAAAAGTGGCCTTTTTTCGAAAAAAAAACTTCTCTTGCGTCTAGACTGTTGCCACGTTCTTTTGAAAGTAAATCAAAAGAACGCGACTATTTTTTCGACCGTGGAAAACCTCATTTTATGAGAAAGAACGCCTTTTTTCGAAAGTGCTATTTCGAAAAAAGGTACTATGTAATGCAAACTGCGCTTTTTCAAAAGAGAGCATCCAGACTGCCTGGGTGCTCTCTATCGAAAAAGCGGCTTGCTTTTTCAAAAGTACTGGTTGCAGTCTAGACACGCTTTTTCGAAAGAGGCTTGCAGTCTAGACGTAGCCTAAGACAGATCCAACCGGATTTATCTGAATGAAGTGGAAATATCCAGGGCCAGCTCCTCAGCTGGTGTAAATCAACACAATTCTATTGATTAAGCTCCACTGATTTACACCACTGGCGTACTTGCTCCCCTTACTAATGTTCAAAGCATTAAGATTTATAATACCTTGTTGTGCAATGAGCTAATGCAATAAAAACAAAGTGTTCATAACAGTCTTCCGAGTCATTTACATGGTTACTAAATATAATCATTTCACAGTCAATACTCAAACTACAGTCTTCCTTTAAAATATCTTTTCTTTGATCTTTCAAGCATCTAACGCTAGCCTTTCACAATCATGCTTAACATATGGGAGAAGACAAACTTTGCTACTTCAAAGAAAAATGTCAGTTTGAAATACTGGAGATTAAAGTAATAGATTTCATGGTCAGCATCCATTACAATCATCATTTACTATGCCTCGGCATGAATTCTCCAAATGCTCTTGTGTTATAATTTAACACAGTTCTCAAGAGTCCTGAAAATCTTTCATAATCAATTTACATGCACTTAGCCAAATGGGTCTGATTAAGATGTGTATCGTTGAAAGTTATGTACAAAATGCTTTTCATAATCACATCGCCCTTAAACTGAATATGTTTATATCGTTTACCCAGGTTCCTGACTTTTACCAATGCTGACAGGAAGCAAGAATGAAAGCAGGTGCTCCCTTCCAATTAATTAGTGTTAGTATAGTCCTTTGAAATTGTAACCCACCGCATTATTATTATTATGCTCCAGAGAGCTATTTTGATGTACTCTACAGAAATCATGTTGAAAAACCTCCAGAAGGGTAAGGTGCAGACAGTGCTCCTCTTAGTGGCAGATTCTGCAATTACAGCAATGACCCATTTTCTCTCAGAATTTCCTTGCCACTGGAAAGAATGAGGAGGTGGGAGAGGGAGAGAAACAAGGACCATGACATAGGGCAAAGCTAATTAATTTATATCTTACAAGTTGGATTTTATCTGAATTGAAAGCTTTTAGGGGTGGATGTTATTTCATTTTTAATTTTGCATATTTAAATATATCTGTACAAATGCCTAGAAATAGGTGCATTTTCATGAAAAGTGAAATCACAGGAAATAAATGGAGAATTTTAAAAACAAGGTCAGTTTCAAACTTGATCTTGCCCTGAAGGATCTGGGGATTTTAGTGGAAGACAAAATGAATCTGAACCAAAAAGACAGGAATGTTGCAAAAAACAGCAAACACCATTCTGTGACATGTTAGCAGAAGTGCTGTAAGGAAGATGCAAGAGAAGGTTACTTTACTGTAACTGAAGGTTCTCTAAGACGTGTGGTGCTAATTTGTAGTCCACACATGGGTGTGCATGCTGTGTAACTCCTATTTGTGGCTGAGGAAAAGAGTCCTTCTGAGCACATCTGAGAGCGCATTGTGGGTACCTGGGAGGTACATGCTTTAGAGCATTTTATGATGTTTGATGCATCAAAAGCAAAGCTAGATGCCATTTCCTGACTTGTGTGTTTAAATTCTAATTTGCATGTACATTAGCATAGGTTTTTGCACATTTTGTGTGTACTGCATGCTTGATTATGAAGACTTCAGTTACTCAAAATTCTGTGGTCTAAAAAGCAGTCCTGTTCTCTCAGATCTATTCATTTATTACAGTTGGGATTATAGCCAAAAGGAATTAAGTGCCCAACTCCATCTGAATTTCAATATGATTTAGGTGCTTAATTCTTTTTAACTCCTTTTGAAATCTCAACTGCCTTTGAAATTTACACATGATGATCCAAATATAGCGTACACCAGTACATTTAGAAAGCCAGGGTTAGCTGGCATATATGTCTATGTGGAAGTGGTATCAATGTGAGAAATCACCTTTATCTTTCACTACCTCACCTGCACTCTGTCCATCCATCCTCCTCAGACTGGAGCAGGTTTTAAATAGAGGTCATGTTAAAAATACACTACCACCAAAATCTTTCAGTTTTCCTTTATTTATGGACTTTCCCACAAAATTATTCGGGTCCAAAGTTCAGGATGGGCTCCTCTGTCTCAAACTATCAAGGGTGGAAGCAAGACTCATAAACCACTGCAAAGAAGCCTCCTCTTCCGCACTTTGTTTCTAGCCCTAACAGTTTCTGAAATAACAGACCTTAAAACACAGTTTGGTTTTTGGCTCACAGCCATAGTGTTATCAGTAGACCATTACTCTGATATATCATCATTAATGCACAGCAGATTTGCAGGTTGTGTACAAATCAACTCTAAGTATGAACATTGTACTCACTAAAAAGCTATTAAAATGATATTAACATTATCATGGAGGGTGCTGTGGCAGCTTCCTTTGGGAATCTGCCATTTTTCTTGTTGTCTTAGTAAAGTGTCTGAGGTGGCGGGACCTATGCTACTGTTGTCAAACCCTTTGCAATGGAGAGGGCAACTTCTTCTAAACCTATTACTGTACTGATTTGCACTGACCTGGCCAAAATAATTTCCCATTTTGCACAGCCTGCAAAGCTCTTTCAGGTCAGATGCAATCCCAGAGGGGGTAGGAAGTGTTTTAAACCCGGGATTTTTGTTATGATTTCTTGCTAACCAAGAGCATGTTCAGGCACCATTCCATAAGTATGCCTCAGAACAATCTTAACTAATTCTGCCAAGTCTGAAAACCCACAAGGAGTCCAAGTGCCTGGAGAGTGGACACTGGCAGCACGACACATCTTCTAGCCCAGCAGCCTTTGTTACAGAGAGCTGAGTGGAGCATATGGACGGACAGACTCTGCATGCATCTACCCATAGACTCATGCACTGGAACCCAGGGATTCTCACCAATTTTTAGCTATCACAGCTTTTTCTGTCCCCACTCACTCCCCCACCAGAGACCATCTTGATATTGCTACAACTGGAGCTGTATAAATACCATAGAGGCCCAGAAGGGAATGTGGCTACACATTTACTTTTGCTGTAATTTTTGACAACCCTGTTCTCCTTTCACATAGGGCTGGTGAATACTCAGGGCCTACTTCAGCCAGCTTGTATTTTCTGAGGGCCTATTCCAATGATAGCATCATGTACACGATCTTTGTGCTGATCAGGATATCAACAAGGTTTCCAAATCCATGCTTTTGACAAAACTGCATTTAGTCCATACAATGCCTAGTCCCATGTTTAGGTTTCTCCCACCAACTTTCTGTGTCTCCAATAGGTGTACTTCATTCTGCTTGTCCAATCCAGGATGAGGCTTTTATCATCATGAAGAAATCTTACACCTCACAAGAGTCTATCCAACATATCTCTGATCAGAAGGAAATATAATATTTGCCTCCGTGTCTCATGCCCTACACACAAAGGCATCTGCCACAAATTCTGCCTCCAGTTATACAGCAGGGCTGAGCTACTGACTAGTGAATACTTGAAGTAGTTTATGGCATTTTATTGCACATGTCTAAAGTCGTATCACAAGACGGCATTGCTGCTAAGCAATAAGGGTGTCTGATGTCTCACTTCAGTAAGATGCCTGAAGTTAAGACAGCCATTTGAATTTTTGCCTTTGGTATTATGAGCATCTACTGGTAACTGATGTGAATTTCAGCAACAACTTTTCCTCCCACTGAAATTAAAATAGAATGTTACTGTTGATTCCACTGGTACCTCCTAGTGAGCTACTCCTGAGCTGGACTGAGCACCTACAGTGAAGTCAGGGGGAACTGCACTCAGCACTTCTCAGGCTCAGTTCCCAAGATGATGCATCACTACACTAGCCCATTGTTTATTTCCACGTCTCGCCACTGTTAGCATGTGCACCTTTTAAAGCAGTAGTCCAAGAATCCCATTAACATCACTGTGATGAAACGTACTTTTCCTTTAAGGGCGGGCTGGAGGCTACGAAGCAGCCTTGGCATAACCAAGGAGACTCCTACCATGCCCTAGGGGAGGGATGGGCCATTTAAAACAGCAACAGGAAGCTGAGCAAGAGAGGGGAGTAGGCTGCTATGGAAAGTGGTTTCACTCTCAGGTCCAGAGGACTAGCCTGACTGGGCCCAGAGACTTTACAGATTAAGTGTAGGACACTGAGGCTATCTCTACACTACAGAGTTTTTCTGGGATGCCATATCCCGGAAAAACTCTGCTGTGTTCAGGGAATGCATCTGCTCTTCCAAAAAAATTTTCTGAAGAGCAGATGCACTTTTTCAGCGTCCCTGTAAACCTTATTTTACGAGAAAGAAAGGATGTTCCGAAAAAGGGTTTTTTTCTGACATTTGGCCCAGTGTAGACGGGCCAAATGTTGGAAAAGCCTCTTCTGAAAAAAGAAGCAGAAAAAGCTTTTTCCGGAAGAACTGTGTAGTCTAGACACAACCTGAGTGCTGTTATATATAACTGTTCCTTCTTGGAGACCTTATTGAAGAGTAAGTACTTATTTGATAAGGGTGGGGTTTTTTTGGTTTTGTTTTGGCTTCCCTCTTGCTCAGATCCTTCGTTGCCACGCTATGCCCCACAGTCTTGTTGTGAGGCCTGGCTGTAAGTGTTACTCACCTGAGGGCAGACCGTGTGGCACGCTTTGTCTAGACATTCTGTAATGCGAAGTCCTGTGACAGCATCTTCCATGTTCGTGCAGGTGCATTCTGAGCAGCCTTCTTCCCAGGATTTCCCAATGGGGTAAACGACATTGCGATGGACACAAACCTGTCAGTGTAGTGAATGCCACAATGAACACATGCCATCTATTCGGAAAGGCTGAGATTTACCAGACCTACTGCCACTCTTACAGAAAGTATTGGATTCAGCCAAAATACCTCTAGTCTTGAAAAGCTGTGGCTAGTTTATTACAAAAAATAAAAGAATTTCTGAAACCCTAAGCCTCTTGACTGAATTCAGTGAAGTTAGCCAGGGTTTGGCTCATGATAACCAAGAGAATTTAGTCCAGAATTCAGATACCGAAGTTCTGATAGAGCAAATACAGCACTTTTCATCTGTAAATCTCAAAATATTTTACAAAGAAATCATGGTGTCATTATCTCCATTATATAGGTGGGGAAATTGAGGCACGGAGCAATGATGTGTGCGCCCTGGTCACTCATCAGGGCTTTTGAAAAGCAAGGAATAAAACCCAGATCTTCTGAGTTTCAACTAGTGCTTTATCCATTAAGCAAATAGTTTATACCAATTAAAAATATTTAGAGACACATTCAATGCCACTATTTCATGGATTAATTTGACCCGCTAAATGTTTAAGCAATAACAGCTCATGTAAAGGTCTATCGTGAAATCCATCACCATCAGGCATGGTCAAAATGCTGCTCCTCTAATCATTTAGATCTAACGTATTTCAATTTAATATGGCAAGTAAACTGTCATGTATATTTGAATAACAACAAAAAGAAACCTTTAAAAAGTGAAATTCTGAAATGGAACATCTATACATAACCCATGATCTTTTGCTAATACAAAAGCAAAGTACAGTAGAGTCCTGATTATCCAACTTTCACTTATCTGACATTCTGATTTATCTGACATAGCCATTCGACGTGCTATTTATGCGCCCATGCATCACATACCGCCATGGGCGTAGCTTCGTTTATTCCTCTGCGCTAGTGATTTGTGTTTGTGCTGTGATTGTTTTATTTTTCCAATTGCATTTTCCCCTTACTGTAATATAATTTTATTGTTTGAGGAACATGGCAAGTGAAAAGAGAAAAAAAGTGGTTCTTTCCATTGAACAAAAACTTGAAGCCTTAAAGAGACTAGATAAAGGTGAGTCCATGCAAAAAATTGCTTCCAAACTCAATGTGGGGCAAGTTACAGTTAGTGACTGAAAGATGAAAAGAAGTGAGTTAGAAAAGTGGTGCTCTGATCAAGCCTCAAACGGAGGACTGAAGGGCAGAAAAACGATGAAGAAATGTGAATATGAAAAAGTGAGTGAAGCTTTGTTCTTATGGATCACACAGCAAAGGGATAAGGGCATGCCTATCACAGGCCCGCTCCTGCAAGAGAAAACTCTGATTTTCCAAAAGGAATTTAATGAAGGGGAACCTGATTTCATGGCTAGTGTAAGCTGTCTTGATTGCTGGAAAAAACAATATGGGTTAAGGCAGCTCAGTATATGTGGCGAAAAATTATTGGCAAATCTGGAAGGATTTCTGAAATTTAAAGCAAAATTTCATTGTCTCATTGACAATGAAGGATTATCAGGTGAGCAGGTGATATGTAACTGTGATGAGACAGGCTTAAACTATAAAATGCTGCCTTCAAAAACTCTAGCTTCCCGGGCTGAAGCTTCAGCTCCTGGGTATAAATGAAGTAAAGAAAGAGTGACGATTCTAGCCTGTAGTAATGCTACTGGTAACCATAAACTAAGACTCACATTTATTGGAAAGGTGAAAAAACCACGAGCTTTCAAAAACCTAGCACCTACTGCTCTACCAGTTTCGTATAAGAATCAGAGGAATGCATGGATGGATTCAGAAATTTTCCGAGGCTGGTTTTTCAATGAATTTGTTCCTTCAGTAGAACAATTTTTGAAATTGCTAAACCTACCGAGGAAAGCAATCGTCATTGATAATGCACCATCCCATTCTCGTGAGGATGAACTGAGCAGCAGGGATATTAGAGTAATTTATCTTCCTCCTAACATCACCTCATTGTGTCAGCCTACGGACCAGGGTGTGCTATCATGAGGAATAACAGCAGTGGGGACATTAGAGTAATTTTTCTTCCTCCTAATATCACCTCATTGTGTCAGTCTATGGACCAGGGTGTGCTTGAAGCATTAAAGAAAAAATATCATCGTAAGCTTTTAACTACGCTCATTGAGGCGACAGACGATGGAAATGGTATGCTAGATAAGCTAAGGACTGTGAACCTAAAATATGTTATGTATTGGATCGCACAATCATTGGAAGAGATTGAACCACAAACTCTGGCAAGATGATGGAGAAAGTTACTTTCGGAAGACGAAAATATACAAGAAATGGAGCAAGAAAATTGTGATAACCTGCTACCTTTGTTACAACATATTCCGGGCTGTGAGAAAGTGAATGATGACGATATACAGGAATGGATGGAGAAAGACGAGCAACAAGAACTGACTGACCATTATGTAATAGCTCTGATGAATCAGGATGACAATGAAGATGATGACAAAGACAAAACGGAGAGAATGAGTCATAGCAAAGGGGTCAAGGCTTTCGAGGTGGCACTGGCTTACGTTGAACTACAAGGGGAAGCAATTGCTAGTGTTGTTATGTTATTGAGACGCTGGCGCGACTTCACCGCAAGGAAGAGAAACAAAGCTGGGAAACAAACTTCAATCACTAATTTTTTTAAACAATAACTTTTGCATTTTGCCATACCGCATACTAAATGTTCTGTACTCTATTATGTTAGTTGTACTGTAGAATAATTATTAATAAACCTGATTTCATACTTTTTTCCATATTATCCGACATTTTCGTTAATCCGACCATCTATTCTGCTTAGGTCGGATAATCGAGACTCTACTGTAAAAAACTTAGGCATGATCTCTGAATCCGTTTAGGTCGGATAATCGAGCCTCTACTGTAAAAAACTTAGGCATGATCTCTGAAATTCATGCTGCCAGAATGACTGCAGCGTGGCTACATGTTTAGATGTATTTTCACGCTTAACACCACAGAGTTACTGTAAACACTTTGTAGGAAAGATATTTTCATCTGTACGAGTAACCATTCATTCCCCTCACCTTGTCTGGAATGCAGGTTGTAGTTGTGCAGCCACAGTCATTGGTGACAGATGTAGATAAATATCCAGCTGGACAGCTCACTGTAGAATTGGTACAGCTGCATGTGCACTCGTATTCATCACAGCACTTGGTCTTCTTAACAGTCAGTTCTCGATGCGGAGGGCAGGAAGGAATGTGATCAAGCTTGCATCCCTCTTGCTTGCAAGCTATCAAATAAATTAGATATCATACTGAGCAAACAATCATATAATAGAAACCACAAGCCCCTTACAAACAAGACCCCGATATGGCAATGAGATCCTCTAGGGATTGATTTCAGTAAGTCACTCTAGCATAGAAGTCCCATCTAGCAGATCATAATGCATCTTCAAGCCAATCTTTTTTATCCTTCACATAAACCTCCCCTTACTTATTACATAGTAAAAAGTATTTGTAAGTAAGTTAGTAAGCTCTTGATCAGAGCCCTTGCAACTCTTAACATTGCTCTGTTCTACAGTTCCCGGTCCAGTCTTGGAAAGAAAGAAATAGAATGTTTCCATTTGCAAGATCATTACTGGTCCTACTGGATCCAAATCGATGGTTTTCCAGAGAGCCAGACTCTTGTAGTGTATGTTTGTTCACACCCATTGTTCAAATACTGTTTAATGTTTAAAACACACTTTACCACAAGTATAAGTTGGTCTGCATTCTCCAAGGTTTGTCAGTACAGGCTGAAGACCGTCTTCACAAATAGGTACAGGAGGCATATCACAGGTAACTAAATCACATACTAAGACAAAAAATGGGACAGTGCCTCAGCTGGTACTTAGCTAGTCAGTCATCAAGAAAGCAACCTCATTTTAAGATTTCTATGTACTTGATCGCTTCTCTGCTAATAGAGAGTAAGCATCAGTGCACAGTTCAGAAGTATACAATCCAATCTTAAAAATCGTTTAGGGAACAATCCTTGTTTTAGGTGTATTGAAAAGCTCTAATGTGTTTGGTATGTAAATGTAGATTAGATTAACATATGTGCCAATTAGATAAACAAAGCAAGTGAAAAAAGTCATTGAGACAAATTGCCCCATGTCGTCCTCTGCATACACTATACACTAAATCATAAAAATCATGAAGCTTTTTGTTCCCTTGTGGGTTTTTCCCACATAGAGGTAAATATGGTCCTCAGGGACTTTGAAAAATACTCTCTTAATCAGTATTTGATCTAAATGAAAATGCCAATTGTAAGTTTGAAAAGCAGCTAATAAACAAAAACAAACAGAAACACAAGAACTGGGCATCAATATCGACTATAGCTCTCCACATTATCCACAACCTACCGCATTCATACTCGGGACAACACTGATCAGGATCTCGATGTAGTCTGGAAACTTCACAGGGACCACAAACTGCAGCTAGAATGAGGGGAGGAAATCACAATTGTAAACCATACTTATATAAAATAAGCAAAGTGGAATTTTAAAATATATATATGTATTTAGAATGTAAAACAGTTTACGTTTGGCAGTAGGGCAAGGTCGGGAAGTGCAATTTATTATCCTATTCTCAAGACACATGCAGATCTTGCAGGGCTCGTTGGAAGGAATCCATCTGTCCATGTGCTGCATGAAAATAACAGGTTGTAAGAGAAAGAAAACCCTGTGATCATTGGTATGCAAACTGCTGGGGGGATAATGAACTAATCTGGAAAAACAAAGTGTACCTATGGGATTGTCTTGCTTCTTCTGATAACTAAGGATTTAGAGAACCACACAATTTAGAAATAGGGCTATTCTTAGATTCAGCAAAAGAGGCAAAGAATGCATAAATATGGTGAGAAATGACCATTGTTTTAGAAAAATATAATGTTCAGACTTTCTGAATATAACTGCAAGCTGTTATAAATAATATAGCACAATGTTGGTACTACACACTAAGGGCTTGTCTACACTACAGAGAAGATCAACCCTCCGGTGGTTGATCTTCTAGTGTACGATCCAGGCCTAAAATTGGATGTACTAAGTAATAAGAGAAACAATGATGTATTGGAAGTATATAGAAGTAGCAGCCTGTTCAGATTATTAATACTTAAGCATATCAAAAATAAAGACACAAAAACCTAATTTAAGCTGAGAAAGTTTCAGAATACCACATTGGAATTCCCACTGTACTGGATTCTGGATAGATGCTAAATCAATACCAAATCAAACCCTGTTATGGCTTTGAGATATTCCTTAAGTTAATAAATGCACAGAGAAATTGATAATAACGTGTGTGATTGTCCCTCTTTGCTAACTATCATTAGCAAGAGGAAAAAGTTGGAAAATAGACATGCTGGTCCTTGGGTCTATGAACAAGTAAAAAAATGTTTACATTTGATATTCCAGCCAGGACTCAGGTGGCAGAAAGATGCTTTGTGGATAATTAAAATGAATTTGCATAATCAAATCCTGCTTTGAACGAGAGCCTATGAAGCAGAATCATAGAATCACAGAATACTAGGACTGGAAGGGACTTCGAGAGCTCATCGAGTCCAGTCCCCTGCCTTCATGGCAGGACCAAATACTGTCTAGACCATCCCTGATAGACATTTATCTAACCTACTCTTAAATATCTCTACAGATGGAGATTCCACAACCTCCCTGAGCAATTTATTCCAGTGTTTGACTACCCTGACATTTGGGAACTTTTTCCTAATGTCCAACCTAAACTTCCCTTGCTGCAGTTTAAGCCCATTGCTTCTTGTTCTATCCTCAGAGGCCAAGATGAACAAGTTTTCTCCCTCCTCCTTATGACACCCTTTTAGATACCTGAAAACGGCTATCATGTCCCCCCTCAGTCTTCTCTTTTCTAAACTAAACAAACCCAATTCTTTCAGCTTTCCTTCATAGGTCATGTTCTCTAGACCTTTAATCATTCTTGTTGCTCTTCTCTGGACCCTCTCCAGTTTCTCCACATCTTTCTTGAAATGTGGTGCCCAGAACTGGACACAATACTCCAACTGAGGCCTCTTCTCATGTCTTACTCTCAACATACCTGTTAATGCATCCCAGAATCATGTTTGCTTTCTTTGCAACAGCATCACACTGCTGTCTCATATTCAGCTTGTGGTCCACTATAACCTGTAGATCCCTTTCTGCCGTCCTCCTTCCTAAACAGTCGCTTCCCATTCTGTATGTGTGAAACTGATTCTTCCTTCCTAAGTGGAGCACTTTGCATTTGTCATTATTAAACTTCATCCTGTTTACCTCAGACCATTTTGAATTATGACCCTATCCTTCAGATTAGTATCAACCCCTCCCTGCTTGGTATGTAATAAAGAGCTGGCTGTCTCTCTTCTTCACTGTGTCTGGAGGAGTGCAACAGTTTCATTCCCCCAACTAAGTTCTAGCAATGTCATTATTCAAGATTTAAAACAAAAAAACCAAAAAGACACCTCAGTCTACCGAAAGAAACATATGTTCTGATGTCATTTCTATAGATTCTCAGTTTACCTGATTTATATTTGAAGGCATAATAATTTACAGCTCAAAGGACTAACAATTCTTCAAGATAAAATCTTTCTGTTCGTCTATCTCCCCAATAATCATTCTTCCTTGATGATTCCATAATAAGAAACATCTACTATAACAATTGTCTCTTAGCATTTTCCTAGGTTTATATATGCTTATGTAAGCATTACCTATTTAGGTTTAACAGACATGACAACAAAAAGGGTTAATAAGTACAGTCTAACACATAGAATTTCTGAATAGGATTAGCTATTGGAAAAGAACTTATATTCTAAGCCTTAGAATTCAACATGCTCTGTTAATATCATAAAGATTCTAAAGAATATGTAGTTCCCCTCCCTCCATTCACTGGCCCAAGTTGAGGTTGTTCAAGATAGTATCATGGAGGAGAGAATACTGCCCAAAGAAAAGCTTGTAAGGACTTTCTTGATAAAAGCATGCAGGGATCCTCATTAATGCAAGAAGGAGGCTGATATCTAAGCTGACCACCACTTAGCCCCGCAGATGCAGTATGTACTATCTGCAGAAAAAGGTCTTTTAGGCAGCATTATCTGAGGAGGTTAATGGTGGGACTACAACAAAAGAAGCAGCACAGTGAAGCAAACTGAGAAAGATCTAGCCACCTATAAAACTTAGGAAATTAGGCTAGTGATCTGTGGGGAACCTGTTTCAGGGGAGGGAATTTCACATAGGAAAGTTGCCAGTAAACAGCTTTAGCCCAGGGATTTGAAAGCACTGCCAGTATATTGTTCAACCATTTAATAGAACGTGATTAGTTTTTCACTGTTTGCTGGTGTTGAAATGATGCAAGCGATCACATGACGTTCTCTTAAATCCACCTGCACAGAACTCTAATCATATTCTATTAAATGGTTGAGCAATATACTGGCAGTGCTTTCAAAATCATGTGCTTGTACATTTCAAGCCACAATGAGATGATCACAAATACTTTCATCCTCAGTGTTATGACAGGCTTTCCCTCGACATATGAGTAAGAATTTCTCTATAATCAAGAGCTGGGTTAAAGCCATCTCAGTTGTTAGACACACCTCACATGTGGACTTCATGAAGGCTTGGACTGCAGTATGGTTCCACCCCTTTACTGTGGTCCTACCCTTGCTTGGAAAAGTAATGACAGCACTTATATAAGAGCTGTTCAGTGATCTGGTGACGGAAACCTTCCACTGTTCTTCCTTGGATAGACAGAGTCTTACTACCCTCTGTCTTCAGGTGTGCTGGGGTTTCTCCCAGGGAAGGGAGGACTCATCCGCCTCCAATGAACTGACCAGAGGACCCTCTATGTTATGGCGGCCCTGAAGTACATTGCAATAGCAGAGCCATGTTGGGTGTCGGTAACAAGAGCCCACTTTTGGGATGGTGTTGGCAGAGCTACCCAGAGAAGAAGTTTTCGGAGTCAATACTCCCTTTGAGATGCATGTGACAGCTTGTATTGTTTAAGGCTATTGTTTCAGGCTCTCTGCAGACATAGGCAGATATCACTGAATCTGTTACACTTAAGTTTTCTTCACAAGAGCTAGAAACATTTATTGTAAACTAGAAGATATATCTGGCATTACTCAGGCCCTTAATTAATTTTTGCTTTTTGGAAAATAAAATGAAAATGTCCATGCTTCATTTAACTCATTGCTCTGGGGCGGGGCTGAGGGTGAGAGGTTCAGCATTCAAGCTGCCCCAGGGAGAAAGGACTGCCCCAGCCCCCTCTCACTGCAGAACCTTGAAGCCAGGTGAGAAGCTCCAGGACTAGTGCAGCTCTAGCGGGCACAGCTGGGGGAGTGGGGCATATCACCCTACTGGGGCAGGTCCAGGGTCATCTGCTCCCCGTGCTCCCCCACCAGATTGAGGAATGGAGCAAACTGTGCACTTTCCCCTTGCTCCCTGACAAAGGGGGACAACCAGCAATGTTCCAGAAGTAAACAGGAAGACTTCAGCTCCCCGCCCCCATACATACACACTACCTAAATGGCACCTCTGTGGTGGGAGGCTAGGGCTGGGACACTCCCAGATGGGGGCAGGAGTCACACGCCCAACGAGCCCCTTTCACCTGCCTGGTGATTCTGTCTCTTTTCTGTATAGTTTTATGAGAAGCAATCCCATCATTCCAGGCACATCCCGTTTTCCTGGCACAGCCAAATCTCTACCTTACTTTAAGTTACGATAAGAGAAAGCAGTGTACTACATTTGGTGATCAAAGCTCTTACCATTTAGGAGCAGTTCTTGGACAGAAACTCTCTCAAATTATATAGTAGATGAAAACAAATTCTGACAACAATATGTGACTGAGGAGCCAGGGACCTAGGCATGGGTTTATAGGACATGCTTGTGTCCTAAGCCATGTCTATAATAGCAAGAAGATTGACACTGTGGTGGTTGATCTTCTGGTGTTTGATTTATCAGGTCTAGTAAAGACCCTCTACATTGAATGCAGAGGGTCTCACTGTCGATGCTGGTACTTCTTGATTCATGAGAATTAAGGGAAGCCAATGGGAGAAAATGTGTAGACAGCACAAAAGATCAAATTAAGTTACAAGATGTACCTCCCTGAACCGGTACTCTCTGGTCTGGCAACTTCCGGACTATGGATGTCCCTGGACTACAGAGCCCAGGTATAGGGAGGTCAGGCCACAGGGCATGAGTGGCGGGGAAGGGAGACTCAGCCAGGGGGCAGGGCGCGGAGAGGCGGGCAGTGCAGCAGGGAGGTCTGGCCCCTGCTGCCGGATGGTAGCGGGGGCAGCGAAGCTCCAGCCCCAGCCGCAGAGCTCTATCCTTGGCCGCGGAGCTCTGACCCCAGCGGCAGCCATGGCCGGGCAGGCAGCAGCAGGCTTAGGCTGGAGCCTTAGCTGGGGGCAGCAGGACAGCATGAGCCATGCTGGGGGGGACCTCCCCTAGTCCGGCAAATCTCCTCATTCAAGTCTGGTTAGGCCCCAAGGGTGCCGGACGAGGGAGGTGCAACCTGTACATCGACTCCAGCTATGCAGTTAATGTAGCTGGAATTGCATATCTTAATTCGAATTTCTGGTAAGCATAGATGTGGCCTGCATACCCCTTACAGAAATACTGTGGTGACAGCATTGGAGTCCTTGAGATCAGTAGGAGCTGTGCACAATCTAGAACTAAAACAAAAAGGGCTAGGATAATACCACCGCACTGTGCACGACAACATGTTCATTAGACAGCTTCCTCTCTTCAGACAGATTCACAATATATGCTGCTCCATCATTATTAGGTCACCAGTGTTACACAGCTGTTGTGTGAAGCAGCTTGTCTGTTAAATGGTCAGAAAAGTTCAACTTCACTATTTAAAACATAGATTGATCAAAAACAAATTTCTGAGATACTAAACAACCATGACTCTAAGTGCAGTTAATAAGAGATACAGGTGCCCAGCGCACCCTCTGAAAAAATCTGGCTACTGGTTTTGAGCTTGCCCTCTGCCCTGTTGTCTAAATAATTTCAAATCATCCTGTGGGTTCTATGTACCTTAAATTAGTGTTTTGACAAATTCTTTATATGTAACTATGAAACCTATAAGAACTGTCATTGCTGGAATGAATGGATTATTCCATATTCTTACAGATATACTTACATAATACCAGCAGGTGGCACTAATGCATAAACCATATTAAGATATAAGAGAACCTTGTTGCAAGCAAAGTTCTTGTACTACATTAAGCAGGCTAGCATAACTCTTAATATAACCTAAGATCAGCAGAATTTCTGTACCGGACTGGCAACTAATCTCAATATTACATTGACAACGTGGTTTGTGTAATAACTATTTTAATAAATAGTTATTTTTATTATTAATAATAAAAAGCATTTTTCATCACTACTAAATCAGCTATAACAGCTGAGAATTTACTCTATAGTTTTTGATGTTGTCATTATGATAATTCATGTAACCAGTATTCTGTTTAAACAGAGCAGTTCCCCTTCCAGAAGTTTTAGGCACAGATGGTCTGGCCTTCCTTTTGTTTTAATCAACTGTAAAGATCTAAAACTTGCATTATTGCTGAAATAGTCTGATTTTTTTTATCAGTGCATATCCATTAAAACAAATTCTGTGCTTCTGTCTGAAAAACAGGAAATGCATCCAACACACACATACTGTACAACAGGTAAACGAGTGTGTCTGTTTGCCCTCAAAATGAATTCAAATCAGAAACAGACATGCACTGCAAGAAAACCTGTCCTCATTATAGTCCCATGGCAGAACAGCAGATCTAAGAAGTTTGACTGACTTAGATAAAATTCAGATGTGACACCTCAACGCTTACAATTATCAGAACTGAACATGGACTCAGGACCTTCTTCAATCTTGCCCGTCACTATAAAGCCATATGTTCCAGTACCAGATCCAGGATGGAAAGAAACAAGCTTCTGCCTTCTTCAGTGAGGCATAATGGAACTGGGCTGCATTAGAGAGAGCAGCAGTGGAGTGTGGCAGTATCCTACCTCCTTCCCCACAGGTGCACGCACACTCTACAGGTATTAGGAACAAGTTTACACATCCCCCTGTGAGCCAGGGAGCACTTAGGGAAGAAAGGTAGAGCTTGGGAGCAGTTGCTATATAGGTGGCATAACCATAGGACAGCACAGCTCATAGTAGGGATGTTAAACAGCTGTTAATTAGGTAACCGTGCAACCTCTGAATATCTTAGTGGTTACACACTGAAGACTGCAATATAAAGCTTATACTGCAGAGCCAAGTGTGGGGTGGCAGCCATCTCCCTGGGAGCCAGTGCACTGGAAGCTGTTTTCCGGCATGAACTGGCTCCTGCCTGCACTCCGCTCCCGGGGAGCTGGCTGCCACTCTGCACTGATGCCTCTGATACAGAGGCAGCAGCACAGGGTGGCAGCTGGCTCCCTGGGAGCTGGTTTGTGCTGGGAACTGGTTTTAAGCCAGCTCCTGGTGTGTCATGGCTCCTGGGCCTGCTCCTGGCTCCCAGCCCCAGTCCTAGGAAGCCAGTTGCTGCCCTGGGCTGTGGGCCCCAATACAGAGCCAGCCGTATGAGGTGGCAGTCAGAGTGTAACCGTTACAGTAACCGATTAGCTCATGTTTATTGGTTAACTGTTTAAAAAATGGTATTATTACATCCCTACATCATATCAAGTACAGCAATATGTCATGTGCTAACTGTGCAGCATTCACTTCTCCTTCATGGATTCTGCCCCTCTCCCAGGGTGATGCAGCACTCAGCCACCCTATAGAAGATGGTACCAAAATGGCTCCTTATGTAACTACTGGCAAGAAGGGAAGAGAGAGCATAGAGGGGAAGGCACTCCATGTGCCAGACAAAAAGCTGCTGGTCGCTGTTACCAAGGATTTCCAGTTTACATAGTTTTTAGATTATACCATGCCTGCTACAGGTCCCTTTCCACCTGTAGCTGAAGAAAGTAGATTTTCAGTGGAACAGAACCCTTGGATGTATTAAAGGAAACATCCCTTTTCTGGCTATTTTTGAGTGGAAGGGAATATTACAGCCTGAAATTAGATCAAATTACACTTTTCCTAATGGCTGAGAAAGTTTCAGGATTGGTTCACACTACCAAGTTATGTCAGTGTCAGGGATGGGGATACTGAACAATGCAGTTAGAATGACCTGTCCTCTGGTGTAGACAGAGTTATGCTGGTGGGAGGGTTTTTCTGTCGGCATAGCTATCACCTCTCGAGGAGGTAGAGTACCTACACCAACAGGAGAAGCTCGTCTATTGGTGTGAGTATTATCTTCACTAAGTGCGGGCGCTGCTACAACATTGTAAGTGTAAACTAGCCCTTAGAAATCTTCCTAGTGCCTTGCCATGCACTTGTGATATACTCACAGCATAAGGACCCCAGGAAGCCTAGTTTTATGTTTAAACTGATTTTTGCTGGTAAAAGGCTGTTTGGATAAAATTTGATCTCTTAATAAATAGCAGTTTATGCCATGCCACTAAGTGCGGGCGCTGCTACAACATTGTAAGTGTAAACTAGCCCTTAGAAATCTTCCTAGTGCCTTGCCATGCACTTGTGATATACTCACAGCATAAGGACCCCAGGAAGCCTAGTTTTATGTTTAAACTGATTTTTGCTGGTAAAAGGCTGTTTGGATAAAATTTGATCTCTTAATAAATAGCAGTTTATGCCATGCCCCCTTCCTCCCCC